AAGTGCGGTCGAGTCAGTTCTGACCCATAGCGACCCTGTATAGGGTTTCCAAGGAATAGCTGGTGAGCTTGAGCCACCGATCCTTGTAGTTCAAATGGCTTTGCAGTGTGGCACATTAATCCACAGCACCACACCAGGACTCCTGGGTTGGTAGGGATAGGCAATTTAGGCATTGCTATACAGGGTCGCTAAGGAGTTCTGGTAGCGTAGTGGTTACGAGTGGGCTGCCAACCGCAAGGTCAGCAGTTCGAAACTACCAGCGGTTCCACGGGAGAAAGATGAGGCATTCTGCTCCTGTAAAGATTTACAGCCTCGGAAACTCTGTGCAGGGTCACTATGAGTCGGAACCGACTCCACGGTACTTAACAACAACAGACAGGGTCGCTATGGGTCAGAACCAACTTGACAGCACTTAACAACAACAACATTGCTATAAAAAGGAGCTCTGGTAGCGTAGTGTTTATGAATCAGGCTGCCAACCTCAGCGTCAGCAGTTCGAAACTACCAGATGTTCCATAGGAGAAAGATGAGGCTTTCTGCTCCCGTAAAGATTTATAGCCTTGGAAACCCTATACAGGGTCACTATGAGTGACCTACTCCATGGCACATAACAGCAACAACAACAATTGCTATAAAGGAGTCCTGGCTTGGTGCTGTGGGTTAATGTGCCAGACTACAAAGCCATTTGAACTGCAAGGTTGGAGGTTCAAGCTCACCAGCTGCTCCTCGGAAACCCTATACAGGGTCGCTATGGGTCATAATCAACTCAACAGTACTTAACAACAACAACACTGCTATAAAGGCATGAAGTGGCTGACTTGACAGATTTTCATGGAGGTGTTTGGTTTTAGAAAGAGGGATCAAGGGAAAACCCCCACTGACTAGTTGTCCGCTTTTCCAGAAGAGTCTGGTGAAAAGGGGGTACAGAATGATGCTGATAAGTCTTTATTATTTCAATTGTAATTGTTAATAGTATCAATTGATTGTCAGAACTGTCATTGTAGAAGATATGTAGCTAAAAGAAGGGAGTAGTTATCTTGTATTTCAGGAACAGACCATCCCAGGACCAACAAGAAGGAAGACCACGAATGGAGCTTGGGATCCTTGCCTGAAGAAGCAGCCACAGCAGAGATGGTGGCAGAGGTGGTGACATGGAAAGACAGAGCAGCTATGGACTCTAGGTCCGTGAACTAAATGAAGCTGTGTGCCTATGGGCTGGAGACGGACTTTTGGACATTTATGTGTGCGTCAAATACTTCTGCTTTGTTCATTCGTGAAATACAAAAGGAAAATGGGCCAGTATGTTTTGGTTGTACATGTTTTAGTAATATCATATCAGGCATAGTTAGCTCTCCTCTTAGGGACATCCAAAAATTATACACTTTATGAGGATTTAAGAAAAATTCATGGAAATGAGACCAATACATAAAGAGAAAAGAGGAGGATTTGTAAGAAATTCTCAAGATGGTCCATCTTCAGGAATAAAGGGCCCAGGAGACTGATAGACCAGACATAGGTTGTTGATTCACATCCAGGGATATATGTTGTTGTTGTTGTTGTTGTTGTTAGGTGCCATCGAGTCAGTACCAACTCATAGCACAGCAGAACGAAACACTGCCCGATCCTGGGCCAACCTCACTACTGTTGCCATGCTTGAGTACATCGATGCTGCCAGTTCCGTCTCGTTGGGGGTCTTTGCAGGATGAATTGGGAGAGGGGGAAAATTTATTCTAGGACTAGGAACTTTAAATAAGAATACTGTCATTAAGACCATGGCCTAAGACCATGGCCGCCTTTCAGGCTAGATTCTGGAACTCTGCAGGGAGGGAAAATGGGGCATTTGGGGTAGATTGTAAAACTCCATGTTGTTGTTGTGAAGTGCCATCGAATCAGTTCCGAGCCATAGTAACCCTGTATAGGGTTTCCAAGGAGCAGCTAGTGAGCTTGAACTGCTGACTTTGCAGTCCAAATGGCTTTGCAGTCTGGCGCATTAACCCACAGCGCCACACCAGGACTCCATAGTACCTAGTAAAAGGGGAACTGAAGGAGGGGCTTTTTCGAGGCAGGGAATAAAACTCTTGGTGGGCTGGCCATGCCACGAGTACACCTGTGTCTACTGGGTTGGGCTCCCAATTTTGCAAAATCGAATAAAGAAAACGTCACTCTTTCTAAAACAAGTACAAATGGGGTTACTTGAGCATTTGTCAGTATCACAACATTTCTCACAGTCCACCACTAACTGGACCTACGTGGGAAGTCAGCCAGCTGTGAGAGGAGGATGCAGAAACCTCTCCCATCGGAAGTACACAACAGCATGTGTCAGGTGAGCCAAATACCTACTAAGGTGCTGCCTGGCAACCAGACAGAGCCCATACCTTTCTATGGGGCTCACTCCAGGCCCTGCAACAAACAGAAAAGCTGACGGGAAAAGAAAAGGAACTGTGCTTGGCTCGGGACAGGCAGCCCCAGTCTCCACAGACAACTTGGGGCACTAATTAGCATGCTACTCAGCTCCCTGCCAGCCCTGGAGAGAAAGCAGCTGCCACCCAGGCAGGCAGGAGGGAGGAAACCCCTGGAGAGTTGCTCTCTAGCCTCACCTCACTTCTGATTCAGGCAGAAGGGAGTGTGGAGGATGGAGGGCCTGCTGTGTGTCCTTGTCACTGGTGGAGACCTAGTGTGCACTGCAGTTGGTCCAGCTCTGGAACCTCCGGCTACTCATTGTGAGGGATAGGCAGAGGTGCTCAGACAATTAAACCCCCAGTGAACTGCTTTGCATCAGAATGAGCTAGTGGGCAGTCATGAGTGGTCACACAATCATTGCTCACTTTGAAGTCAGTTCAGGTCCCACGCTCGACCTTGGTAAGCAAAAATAAAACTCTCAGGCTAGATTGAATCCTATCATTGAATCTAAAGAAATGTGTGTGTGTGTGTGTGTGTGTGTGTGTGTGTGTGTGTGTGTGTGTGCTTGTTAGCACACACGTGAGTTAGTCTAAGTCCATGTACAACAATTTCAGGAGTACCAAGTCCTGGTTAGGTGCTTAACTGTTAGCCAAAAAGGAGGCAGTTGGAACCTACAAACAGGTGCCTTGAGATCTGCTTCAAAAAGGTCACAACCTTGAAATCCCTATGGATCCCAGCTCGACAGTGACCACATGGGTCACCATGAGTCAGAACAGAGTCAAGAGCAAGTAACAACAGTGAAACCTCACAAACTGTTTTTTTAAAAAATCTACCCCACCAGCTGATTCCCAGAACCTGAAATTCCACCTTTACTCTATCATGCTTCAGCTATGAATTCACTTCCACCAGAATCCTGTTTTAAAGTGAAGACACTTCGGGAAAAGAAATGGATCCAATGATTCCTTCTAGGTGACCGAGTAGGAATGTGTCCTTAGCATTTTGGAGGCAAAAGGGAAGCTGGGGGAAAACAGAACTAAAAGAATACTGAATAGGGTATAAAAGTTCAGGGCAACAAAGTCACCATTTATTTGAACCCAGAGGAAGCTGTGTGCGTATCTGAGGAGGCCCAAAAGCACTGGACTGGTAACAGCAAGGTCAGAGTTCAAACCAACCAGCCACTCTTGGAAACCCTTTGCAGGGTTGCTCAACAGGACACAACAACAAAAATGGAAAACTGAACTTTACACAGCCATTAAATTATTTAATCCAAACTCTTACATTAAAAGCTCACTAAAGGTTCATGCTTAGCGTAGTGGGTACAAATCAGGCTGCCAACCGCAAGGTCAGCAGTTCGAAACTATCAGCTACTCCATGGGAGAAAGAGGCTTTCTGCTCCCGTAAAGATCTATAGCCTCGGAAACCCTGTTCAGGGTCGCTGTGGGTCGGAACCGACTCCACGGCACTTAATAACAACAACAAAGGTTCGTGAGGGAGTCTCTAGTGGCCAAGTGGTTAAGCGCTCAACTGCTAACCACAAGATCAGAGGTTCGAACCCACCAGCTGCTCTGCAGGAGAAAGATGTGGCAGTTTGACTTGTGTGCATATTTACAGCCACCAAATCACCTTGGCGCAGTTCTACTCGACCCTAGAGCATTACTATGAGTCAGGATGGACTCAACAGCCATACGTCTTTTATTTTAGAAAACTTGAGTTTTTTACTGGCCACATAGATACTGGTATCAAATAGACCTCTTAGGATAAAGTTTAACCACCCATTCTAAACAGGTAACTATCAACATTAAATAATATCCCACCTAAATGTCAGGAAAAGGAGGTTAATGGCTAAAACAGAAATCAGAGGCAGAATCCACAACGAGAATCCGCCACTCATTCTTTTTCCATGAGGCCTTGCAGCATTATGAGCTGAGACTTGAAGAGACTTCCCAGAAGCCTGGAGGTCAAGTTTCCACCCTCTCTTTGGCTGTTAGTTATTTGCTGTATCACAAATTCCTCACCTGTAAAATGAGGGTGTTAGACTATATTGGTGACTTTCAAAGTATGTTCACTGGTGTTCTGGGAACAGCCCCAGGGGAGGGGAAGGTCCAAATGGCCCAGCTCACCAGAAAGCAAAACCAGTTGCTGGTGAGTGGACTCGGGCTCCTGGTGACCACATGTGCGTCAGAGTAGGGTTTTCAACGACTGACTTTTTGGAAGTCAACTGATGGGTCTTTATGTCAAGGCACCGCTAAGTGGACTCAAACTTCTAACCTTTTGGTTAGTAGTCAAGTGAATTAGCTATTTACTCCACCCAAGACTCCAGCAAAGCTAATACCACCCTCCAAAAACCAGATTCAACCAGAATACCCCTTCATATATTTGATCACAAGTTCCAATTGGTAAGAAAGGTTTTGTGACTAAAGAGAACATTTGAGAGGATCCGGATTAGGTGTTTTCACAGGTTTCTTCTAAAGCTGACATTCTATGACTCACTCATGCTACCTCAGTTGGGCCTGCTCTGGTGCAGAAAAACCAGGTAGGTTGTTGGAGAACTTGAGGGAGCTCAGGGACCACCAGGGGTGAATGGAGGAAGCAGAACTTACCCGTGATTCTGCCCACTGTTCCTTTCACGAAGTTGCCAGCATATCCGGCAACATGGGCTCCGAGGCTGTAGCCAATCAAGTGAACATTCCCGAGAGAAAAGTCATCGTACCCCTGCAGAAAGTCACAAAAGTCTATTCGGTCAAGGATACAGTGGTGGACCCACAGAGTGACCACAGCTGAACTATTCATCATGAGGAAGAAACATTCACAGGAATGTGGGCACACAGACTTGCCAGGGGCATTGCTGACAATGGGTGACCACCCGAGAAAGGAAAGTCAAAAGGACTTAGTGGCACTTCAAATGCCAACAATTGCATACCTGACCCTCCCCTGAAAGTGTTCTATTCCTTCTTGCTGCATCTAAGTCAGGGAAGGATGAATTTATGTAGATATCACTAGACTCATTGAAGACTGAAATGCCAACCACAGCCTACAGCAGTAAGCTCCCTTCTACCCTCCACCCAGTCCCAGATACTGCCAGTCTCCCCACCACAACACCCATCTGGGACCCCACAGTGGAAGTAACATGCCCTGACATGGCACTTAGCTGGTGGAGAGTAAGTAAAGCAAGGAGGCTTTGACCTCATGCCTCAGGGACCAAGATCTACAAAACAACTTCAGAATAAGACTTGAGAGGAATTGATCAAGAATCCTGACCAGAATGTAGCCAGAATTCAATCCATCAAATTCGATGGATAAAAGGAAGGTCAGGTTGGAACTGCCCAGGGGGTGGGGTTACTTTGCTAATGTGTCCCTGACCCCAGGTAACTCCACTGATCTCAGGTAAATCATTAACCTATAAAAAGTCAATTTAAGACCTCAAAGTCTGTTTACCACACTTAATATTTGAAGTGATCTATTAGGTTGCATCTGTTTTAACCACCTTTCAGAACAGTTTAATATCTAGCCACTGTTTAGAAGCAAGAGCAAACTTTAGTCGGTATTTCAGATTGACCATTCCCCAAAATTTAAGGACAACAGCTTCTAAAATCAACAAATAATGACCTATAAGGCAAATTTTCTTACGGCAACTAAATTAACAGGAACAATCCAGAGATACCACAATCATGGAAAGGTTCTCTAAAAGTCCCAGCTTTCAAATACTTAAAGTGAGACTTCATTTGATTAAATTTGAAGTCCCAAAGATTTTAATCAGACTCCTGAAGCTCACTGTAGCAAAGTCTGCCCATTATTTCTTAAGAAAGTTTGGATTTGAGATTCTGCTTGTGAAAAATGACTCCCTTTTATTCCCAGTTAGGAAGCCCTGGTGATGCTACGGGATAAATATTGGTCAGCTAACCAAGGTCGGTGGTTCAAACCCACCAGCTGCTCTGAGGGAGAAAGATGAGACTGTCTACTTCAATAAAGATTTGTAGTCTTGAAAATCCTAAATAGGGTCGCTGTGAGTTGGAATCAGCTTGATGGCAATGGGTCTTGTTTCATGTCAAGTTACCTGCAACCAGTTGAGCATCATGGCTACTTGGCGGCCCACCACTTGGGTGCTATTGACTGCATCTGTGTAAAGTTGGTGAGCCAGGGGAAGCCAGTCAACCACCACCACATTGGCGTCTTTCTCTCTTGTCTGAAGGGCTAATACTAGTTTGTGCAGCCAATTTTCTAACATGCCACTCATCTGCAAAGAAAAGAGGAAAACATTTATTGATTCTTCTGCTGGGTTTCAGAAATCCTAATGTATTTCAAAAATCCTGATGAATATGGAAGTCAGTCAGATTCCAGAATCTTTACGTTGGCTGCTCAGGGACCAAACATTTGCACATGAGCAGAGCCAACCAATGGCAAATTGCCACCTGGGTACTTGTCTTCCATTACACTTTACACTTTACTGGACTTTACAAGTCCACTTTCTCTCAGCAAAACATTCATAGTTGTTTTCCAGTTCTCTTGGAGACTACTACTGTCTGATAGGGCCACTAGGAGATAAGAGCCCATACAAATGTGTGGGTGGAGATACTGGCCCGAAGTTAGTCTGAGTCCCTGTCACAGCCAAGCAAGGGGCCTAGGCCATCATTCAAAGGCAATTGGGTGGGTTGCCCTGGAGAATTAGCTTCTTTCTTAGAGATGCAGGGAAATGCTTTCTCCTAGGCAAATGCAGAGTTAACAAATGACCTCTTCCCACAACCCATCTCTGTCATCCCTCTTGACCCCAGTGTAGGGAAGATCTGTCCCTGGAATCTCAAATTAGAACTTGGAACACATTTTCCCACAGAAACCAAGTCATAAATGGTGCCCAAGTCCAGTTGTAAACTTACCCACAAGTACATTATGAGATAAATAGATTTTCTGTGTCTAGCCTGGGAACCCAAACACCATTTAGAATCTTGTTTCTATGGAAAACTGCTGTTAAGTCCCAAACAGATTACAAAAGAACTTTTCTGGAATGCAATTCATTTGTAAATTGTTGACAGTTTGTATTTGCATTTTGACAGGGGGCTTTAAAAAGATCCAAATGCATGATGCTAATTGTAAGCCACGAAAAGAGGATGGCTGGAAAATCATCTCCCCTTCCATCATATTTACAGGTAAGAGCTGCCTCCCCTAGGGACAGCCCCAACAGGTGGTGGCAGACCAAACGACCCAGCATCATGTAACAGATACAAATTTCTCATCATTAAGAGGAGGACTGTACCCTCACAATTAGTGCAGACAGAAAACTGCTCAGTTAATAGTACCATTTTCCTAAAGACCATCATTCTATGAATGAATAAATCCCTCCTTGGTCAAAAACTTCGGAAGCTGAACATTAAGGCCCTTTTTCTGTTGTAGTTTGTCTTGGGTCTTTCAATGTGAATTGCTCGGCAAGGGCACATTATAGTCTCATGCCTTTAAACCAGGCCATCTCTATGCACACAGGAGGGGCACCATGCCAACCACAGTCAGCCAGCCAGGCCAGCTGGCTCGTCATCACGTCTCTGAACCCAGCAAGCAGCTCCAGTTCAGCTCCACTCTTACAGAGGGCTGGCTCCCGCAAGGCAGAGGTTGCCCAACGTAATTAAGTGTAATTAGAGCTGGTGGAGCTAGGCTGCTGCCTTCAGGAGTGCCACTTTCTGAAAGCCGCTGAGTGCCAGCATGAAATACCACCCTGCTGGAGCCCACTCTGCCTCCTCAACACAGTGTTACTTATTACATCCTTCACAGATGTCTGAAATACAAGCAGCCCACAAGAAGAGGGGGGGGGGGTACTGTAAGCACCAGTATCCTTTTTAATTGAGCAAAACAAAGGAAACCAAATCCCATGTAAAACTGCAGGGCGCCCTCCCCTGGGTCTCACCGTCCATCCATGAATGATGAAAAAGGTTTTGCCTGTCACATTGAAACCACAGTCTTCTAAGGGCTGGTCATGGTCAAGGGAGAGGTAGCATCCTTCATGCTCTGGGTCCTTCGAGGTTCGGAGGTTAAACTTCACAGAGGGGTTGGCAGCAGCCTGTATATCCCTGGAATTGTGGAGCTCATCTGGGGAGAAAGAACAAAGTGTGGGTGAGCTTTTGCAGCAGATCTGGAGTCTAGTGCTTCAGTAAATTACTTAACGCTCCTGAGTTTCAGTTTTTCACAACTGCTGAATGAGGATGACATGTTCCTTCCTCCACTCCCAGAAGTCTGAGGATATAGTCAAAGGGATATGCCATCTACACTTCAGATAACTAATACGAGAGGCTTCTCTCTCATATTAATTTTTGTGTATCTGCAAGAAATAGTTCTTTTACTTTTCTTCCCTCTTTCCTTCTCTTAGTTTCCTGCTTTTAGAAGACAGGTCCTCCATTCTTTTCTTGAAACGCTTGGGTGGAGTTAAGTTCCAAAATTCCAGATTTCAGAAAGGCATTACAGTGAATATATCATATTTTATAACACCTCCAATGGGGTCTGAGGCATTCCCCATGAATTAAACACACCTCTATTTCTGCAGGGACATATATGACTACCCACATTCAAAGGCAAAAAGAATCCCTCTTGTCCATTCAGGCCAAATTTTTTTTCAGGTCAATTTTTTGCTGCCAAATGAGTTCAAGTCAGATAAGACCAGGTCTTTCTGCCAAACAAGTTACCAAACACATTTTCCAATTTTCAGAGATTGTGGAATTGGAGGTAAGAAGCTATATAGACCTATTATATACTGAGTTTCCCCTAATGTTCTTATTGCGATTGCAGCCCTTACTCCTAAGACTTTATGTGTTTCTATGTCTCTCCCAGTACTGGACATGTGCAGGCATTCATCTTGTTTGTTAAATGAATGACTGAAGCTATGGAGAGCCACAGAAAAGCAGTAAAACCGCCCTTTCCAGCTCCACTGCTCCAAAGTACAGCAAATGTCACCCACATCCCTGCGGCCTCCAGGATTCGGTATATGCTGCCATCGGCATACCACCTGAAAGAGTCATAAACGGACCCCACCCAGCACTCTTTCAGGCATTCCGGAAACCATCACTTGATAACGGGCTAAGCAGTTCAAGTACCAAACTATCCAGTGGGCATGAGGAGAGGCGAGGAAGGCAAAAATCCCAGGAACTTACCTTATGCCAGAATTAAGAAGCAAAAGGAAGACGAATCATGGCTGGTGTGTGGGGTAGTGAAGAGAAGGAGGGAAAAGGAGAAGAATGCACCAGATGTACCTGGATAACGTTTCAGAAAACTCAGCTAAATACATATGGACTGACCTGAGGTTGGCTATCATGGAAATAATGGATAAATGCCTCCAAATGTGAGAAATTTGAATCATAAACATAACTAGTTCAACATCTTCTCAATTTCCACCTGATAGCCATTCACAGGAGGACCAGATGGAAAAAAAAACGAATCTATTGGCTTATTGAGACAAATTGGTGGATAAACCCACTTATCTCTATAGAAGACTCACAATTGCTTCTGTCCCCACAATTTTCTCTAGCTTCATTCCTACTACTTTCCACTTGACTCACATTAGCCTCAAGGACTTATGATTGCTCTTCACCCAGATGTCCTTATAGCTTACTTTTCCCTCCTGCAATTCTTTACTCTGTGGTCAACTTCTCAGTGAGGCCTTCCCTAATGGCGATAATTAAAACTGTACCACCTATTCCATCCCAGCAGGGAGCTCTGGTAGTATAGTGGTTACGCACTGGGCTGCAAACTGCAAGGTCAGCATTTCGAAACTACCAGCTGTTCCACAGGAGAAAGATGAGGCTTTCTGCTCCCGTAAAGATTTACAGCCTCGGAAACCCTGTACAGGGTTGCTATGAGTTGGAACCAACTCCATGGCACACAACAACAACAACAACATTCCATCCCAGCACTCTGCTTTAAAAGTGTACCATCTCACTCAGCTTTTTCCTCTGCTTTACTTCTCTTCTAACACTGTTGTTACATGCCATCCAGTCAAATGCAATTCATAGCAACCTCATTTGACAGCATAGAATTCTCCAGAGGGTTTTCAAGGCTGTCATATTTATGGGCACAGATTGCCATAAAGGTCTTCTCTTCTGTGGAGCCATTGAGTGGGCTTGAACTATCAACCTTTTGTTAGTCCTCAAGCCAAGATTCATCTGTTAACCACCAAGGCTCCTTCCATAACACTGAGCACTCTTTGTATATTTTAATTAGTTTATGGTCTGTTTTCTTGGGGGCAGGGATCTGTGGGTTTATTTTCTCTGAATCCCCAGCACCTATAATGGTGCCTCACGCTTAGCAGGCATGCTGATAAACATGATTTCAAATTAATAAAATGGCCCACAAATACTCAGGACTCTAGAACACTGATGTTGGAAGGAACTTCGGCATGTTACAGAAGTGTATCACCCTTCTAGTTAGTATTAGAGTTGAGAACATGTTGAGTACACCAACACTTTCCCATTCATTTAAATTAACTTCCCCTCTTCACTCACACACTTAAACTAACACAGACCAACATCATTTGGTCCAACCTCTACAGAAGCATAGAAGATGAAGTGACTAGGTACAATGTAGGAACTCCCTATTATTTGGTACTCAAACTGATCGATCTGTACACATTTCCTTGCAGGATACACTTCTTCCAATTCTTCAGAGAATTCAGAGACTGCCATACAAAACCCAGAATGAAGAAAAACCAGAAACTCAAAGGAAGAGGGTGAAGAGTAAGAAGGGTAGCCAGAGGGAGGAAAGGCACGAGTGTTAGGAAGAAGGAGGCTGGCAACTTGGAGGAATAAGACCAGACATTTTTCTGCACGAGTAATCCACCAGAGCTTTCCTGCACGCACCAGTCGAACCAGAGCCAACTAGCCTGCAAACTAACTTTCAAAAAGCCGACACGGAAAATGAAGAAGGGGCGCCCGACTGCGGAGTTTTCCCCACCAACCTTCCTGCCTCTCAAATCTCCAGGTTCAAAGACAAAGACAAGGTTTAGGAGCCGCTGGCAGGCACCTCAGCTTCTGGACAGCACCAATTAAGAAAACTGGGTAATAGAAGGGAAGGAGGCTGGAGAGCGGGAGCGCGCGCACACTGCCAGCCTGTTGCCTCTTGGATGACGCGAGACGGGATTTCCTAATGACAAGCGCCCAAGAAATTAGTGGGCTTCAAAGCTGGAACGGAGGAGAAAATGAAAAAGGCAATGGGAAAAATTAAAGGAAGCCTTTTTCAGAAACGAGGAAGGACTGGAGAAAAGAGCCCGGCAAATAGAAGAGAAGTGAGGGGGAAATAAAGACAAATGCACGTTACCTTGCAGCCGTCCCTCTGGACCAAACTCTGAGGGGCTTCCCGAGACAATGCAACAAAGAACACTGCAGAGTCGGAGCAGGGGAACCAGGTTTCTCATCCTTCCCTGCCACGCCCCCTCCCCTGAAACTGCAAACCAAAATCCAAACCCAAAAAAACGTTTCCAACACTGGAAACACCAGTGTGGGCAGCCCTCTCTCCAACAGACGGTGGTGGGCTAGACAGTTGAGAAAGGCGGCAAGGAAGAAGAAAGTGGAACAGGAAAACTTGGCTTAGCCAAGGCGTGGGCGGGTGGTGGTATGAGGGGCCTGAGCCTAGTCTGTCCGCACCCTGTGCGTTAGGACGCAAACTTGAGACTGTCACACAGCTCTCAGAGAGGTCGTGTTTAAAGGATCGAGTCATCTGACCCATCGCCAGATGGTGATTTACATAATTTATTCCATTCCCTGGATTCAGATTGGTCACACCACTTCGCTGACGCTATCGGAAACCTCCCCCAAAGTTTGAATGAAAGCGCCGCACACCCACCGCGTGGTAGCTCCGCTGGCTCAGTCGTGCTTCCTTCCCAGCCGCCTGCGCTGGCTGCCTAGTCTCCCTCCACCTGCTTCCTCCTAGTGCAGCCCCGAGACCCCAGAGACACCGTTCCACTCATGGCGGCCCCGAGGGGGTCATCTCCCCCAAACTCTGCCCCCGTTGAGTATGCGACTCTGGAGAAAGAAGGTCAACTTCTAATTCTGCTAGATGCAAAGCGACCCCTGCACCTTGGACCGAGAGTCGGATGGCGGAGAACCACCTGGTCACCCTCTTGGTTCTTCTCCCTCGCCTCCCACCCTGCGAGGCCGGCAACAGATGGGGGGAGCCAGGCGTAGACTGTGTTCCGACAGTACCCAGAGGGCTCTGAAGTCGCATGGGGTATGGCCTGGGCTTCAGAGTTGCCCAAAGCCCCGCTCTGGGTCTCCGCACCGCCCCTCACTAGTTGCAAATATTACAGGCTCGCCACTAAACTTCTCCACGGACGTCCACTGGTCGGCAATATCGGGGTGATCATTGATCCTCCGCTTAGGGGTATTAAGAAAATTCAGAGATACTACATTGAAGCGCTGGGCACGTGGAGCGCACGCTCTTACCGTGGGGACCGATGGCTAGAGGGATGCGAGGCGACACTCCTCACAGGGAGCTTACGGCCAAGCTTGGAGTCTGTATTGCGTTGCCCGCGCGGCGTCTTGGCCCACTACTCAACACCTGTTGAGTGGAATCCCCCAGTTTCTTCCTCTCTTTTCTCCATCTTTTTTTGTGTGTGTGTTTTGGTTTTTTGCTCCTACTGATCTGCGCCCCTGCTTCTCCCCTAGATCCCTCTGCGACTCCGCCCGTCGGCCCCAGGGGCTGAGAGCCGCTAGCATCGAGATCTTGGCGCGGAGTCTAGCACTGGGGTGCTAGCTGAACCTAGGCAGGTGTCCCGCGGCGGTCGGGGTGGTCGGAAGGTGGGGTGGGGGTGGAAGAAGTAGAACCGATCACGGCTGCGCACTGTCACTCACACCTCGTTCCAGCGGGACAGAGCTGGCGGTGCCAGGCGGCAACCTTAACCTCTATTAACCCCAGCGGGCCGGGAGGGGCGCGGGGAACGGGGCCAGCCTCTGCCGGGGGAGGAAAGCGCGGGAGCCGCCCGGCGCCCTGCCCTCCCCAGCGTCGTAGACCGGTGTGGAGAAACCGGTCCCGAGCGAGCCAGTTCCGACCTCTCGTTACTTTGGTTACTTCTGCTGACAACGAAGCGCACTCTGTTCCTCCTAGAGCTATAACGGGAGGCTGGGGAGCTTTCTTTTCTGCGTGTAAAACTTAATGAACTTTATAAAAGAGATAGTAAATGTCTCCAGATGTGTTGGTTTGTCCTCTCCCCGGTCGATTCCGACTCATAGCCACCCAGTATAGGGTTTCCGAGGAGTAGTTATTGAGTTTGAATCTCCAACCTTGCAGTTCAAACGACCTTGCCTTCCAGAGCTGATCCGACAGCGCCACACTCCTCTGGTAAACTATAAACAAGTCAGCTCCATTTTAAAGATGGAAAAACTGAAGCTTCCTTCCTCCAACCAGTTCTCTCTCCTCTGGGTTTGATTGGACCAGTCGATCTCTGGATATGAGCCTTTGTTAACTTTCTCTCCATCTGTTCAGTGGCTCTAGATAATGAGTAACCTGTGAACACAAATTCCCTTCTCTGCCCTGAGCTGCTCAAAGCCCTAATCCTGGAAAGTGTGACTGTTAACATCTTGGAAGCCATTGTTCTAGGAGAGATCCCCTAGGGGAGCTATAGTGTTGTTATTAGTGTTGCAGTTCTGACTCAGAACTGTCTGCCTTGTTGTTAGCAGTTCAGTGCTTATCCTATCGCCCCATACCAGGACTCCAGGGGTGCTATATTATTGTTGTTAAGTGCAGTCGAGTTGGTTCTGACCCAGTCCTATAAAACTGGCTCTCCTCATTGAGGGTATTGGGAGTGGAGATCCTGATTCAACAATATCGACTTCCAGTTTTTAAACTGCTAAGGAAGTCCTGGCGTGGTTCTACAGGATACGTGCAGGACCAGTTTGAACCACAAGGTCGGTGGTTCAAACTCACCAGCCGCTCTTTGGAAACCTTGTACTGAGTCTCTAGGAGTCAGAACTGACTCCATTGCATTTAACAACAATAACAAGGCTCAGGCCTGGTAGAATGCTGAGGAATTCTGGTGTGGTGCTGCAGGATAATACACTGGACCACAAGGTCAGTTTGAACTGCAAGGTCAGCAGTTCAAACTCACCAGCTGCTCCTTGGAAATCCTATACAGAGTAGGGTTGCTGTGAGTTGGAACTGAACCAACGGCACTTAACAGCAACAAGGCTAAAAAGTCCAGGTATGACACTGTGGGAGACACCCTACAAGGTCGGTTTGAACTCCAAGATCGGCAGTTCAAACTCACCAGTTGCTCCTCGGAAACCCTATGAGTCAGAAATGACTCGACAACACTTAACAACAAGGCTATGGTCAGAGTCCTGGTGTAGCGCTGTAGGATAAGCACTAGACTGCTAACCTCAGGGTTGGCAAGTCAAACCACTCCTTAGAAACCCTATACAGGGTCACTATGAGTCAGAACCAGCTCAACAGCACTTAACAACAGCAACAAAGGCTATAGCCTGGTTGCATAGTAGGTTACATGTTGGGCTGCTAATTCTGTGATCAGCAGCTCAAATCCACCAGCCTCTCTGCAGGAGAAAGATGAGGCTTTCTGCTTGCAAAAAGATTAACCTACTAGATAGCACACAGCAGCAGCAAAGCTGTGGTAGCAATGTAGGATTGGTAAACGCAGTTCAAACCCACCAGCTGCTCTCACAAACCCTATTCTGCGGGTTAACGCGCTGGACTGCAAAGTCAAAACAGACTCCATGGCATACAACAACAAGGCTATGGCACAGTGAATTAAGTGTTGGTCAGCTAACTACAAAGTCAATGGTTCAAACCCACCAGCTACTCCAAAGGAGAAAGGTAAGGCAGTTTCCTTTATAAGACTAAGCAACTGAGTGGGAAGAATATGAAAGCATTTCAGTTGTATCGTTGCTTGGTTAGAGTGCCCTCATGTGTCTCCATGTTATAATATCATGTGAGAACTTGCAAAGGACATGTGAAATTTTAATCACAGCTTTACAGCAATATATACCATCAACTGTTCGGCTTCATCTTTACTAAAAGAGCCATGAAGAGATCCGAGAGCTTCCTGTGTCGAGAAAATTCCCTGCTGGGAGATTGCAGCAGAAAATTCTGTTTGTCTTGCAGTCAATTTTTCAAGGTCTTGAGCTACCACAGTAGAGGACAGTGGTTATTCATTTTGGTAGCCCAGCATCTGAAGACCCTTCCAGTGCTAATGATGTGTATCCTTCTTATGAGAGGAGTTCATTTTCTGTAAAGCTTGGCATATGGAAAGAGTCCATTAAATACTTGTTGAATGAATACATGAATGAAGCATGTTGTGACTCTTCCAGAGGAGGCAGAGTATTAAGCTTTTCCTAAATTGACCTCAGAACCCTCTCTCCACAAAGAAGTTAGGAAGCATCTAAACTCTCCAGGAACACAGTTTGGGAAGCATTGGGTTTCTCAGTGCTGTTGAGTCCATTCTGACTTATAAGGAACTGATAGGACAGAGTTGAATCGCCCCATAAGGTTTCTAAGATAGTAATCTTTACAGAAGCAGATTGCCTCATTATTCTCATGGAGCATCTGGTGAGTTCGAACTACCCACCTTTCAATTA